CAAATCAGTGTTGATTCTTTATTTATTATTTAATTAACAATGAGTATATTTTTCACACATTTTTATCATAATTTTTTGTCCCTTAATGTAAACAGCATGAAAACTGAACAAAGATAAAGAGACACAAGTTTATGTCACATTCAAAGCTATTGTAAGGTTAAAGTTTTGTTCAGTGTTTCTTAATTAAAAATAAATGGCATTTTTTACATTAACTTTATAGAACAATATATGTACCATTATCTTCTGCCATCTTTCAATTAACTTCATAATTCCATCCTCCTAGAATTTTATTTTTCTCAGCAAAGAATTGCTCTAGGTGCTATTTGCAGTAAGAAAATTTTATATAGTTCAGAATAAATACTAATGTCAAAGTGCAATATCTGATGAGTACTGCAAATTTGCCAAAATTTCTGAGTTAAATGATAAATGTCTGATCACCAAAGAAACACACAATCTAGCATTACCCTAATTCCAGTTGATTTTTTTTTCTTATCAATCACTGTTTTCAAATTAATCATTTGCTTCTCTAAAAGGGGCACCTAGTAGAGGACACCATTCTGATACTACAATATACACAGCAGTAGCTTCTTTAAATGAAAATTAGTTCTTGATACAGTTAGTAGCAATTCATTTTCATTGTACCATAATTTCTTCCATTCCGTATTATTGCTGTAAAGTATACAATTTTCATTGCCCATCAGAATTTGTTCATTCTCAATAGAGAATGAAATACAAATATAAGACAGTAGGTTTTTTCCATTTATGTAAAGCAACACTTCAAAATGACTAACACAACCAAAGTGCTGTAAATGATTTTCAAAGTTCAATTTGGATACTGTTAGCATATTGTCTATTTTCTAACATTGTTTATTTTAAAGTATTGTCTTGATTTGATCACTATCAACCACATAAATTTTTTTTTTTTAAATAATTTAAAAAAAAATTAAATGTATACTATGTAAAAAAATTTTGTTTATTTTTCCCCATCTTTAGTTTCTTAAACTTTGTACTCATTCACTTACAAAAACAATTCTCATAGAACTTTTGTGAATGATACATTATGATGTAAAAAAGGATTGGTTAAATAAATAGAATTTAAAATAAAATATCAGATTACTTATTTTCTCACCAATTATCCCATATAATATTGCATGGCTATGTTATTATATAGTCTTGAAGTTGATGATGAAAAATGTTTTTTTTTTGTATAAGTATTTTTCATAGCTGACTGAATAACAATTTCCCAAATATTATGGCTATATAATCAGTAAATAGGAATTCAATATATGCAACTCATTGTTTCATTATTTTTTTAAACTGGGATAAAGCTAAACAAAATATTTAGTGGATTAATAATTTTGAAATGAATTGGAAATGAACATAAAAAGATTAAAATAAAATTTAAATTTTCAAGCAAAAACCAAACATACTAATTTATAAATAACTTTTTAAACATGTTAAATATTCTTATCTGAATTTCTTACAGGAGAAATTTTTTGTTGCTTTTTTTTTTTTTAATCTGTTCTAAAAACATTGATTGAAAATAAATGAGATTTGAATTTGAATCCCATAAACTTAAAAGTCTATCTGATATATAAAAGAGAAATAAATAAAATTTATTTATATCCTTAGCTTTCAATTAAAGCGAAAATGAAAGCTTCAAGTATCACAAATTAGTGGAGGTAGGACAGTAATCAACAGCAGTTCAGCCTTTTGGGGAGATTCCTCCAAAACCTAGCCCATCTTGAAAGAAAACATTACTAAGAATTGTGCCTATTCTACCCCATGCAATTGTGGCAAGTAATACAAGAGACCATCAGTCCAACAAAAGTATAGATGTAGGAACATCAAAAACTTGTAAGGAAATTGAGATAATAAACAGAACAATACTGGAGGATAAGATAATTGAAAGAATCAGAGCATATATTAGGTGCTGATAACCCCCTCAGCAGATCTAGCATAGAAGAATATCATCTGGAAGTTTCTGATTAAAAAATGAAGGACACCATACAAAAAGAAAATTTCACCACCCAAGCAAAGACACTTGCCTGTATACAGACATTAGGTTAAAGATTCCAGAATTTCAAAAAACACATGATCTAGTGGATTAAAGCATTGGTTCCCATAGCAATTGGGAGTTCAATTCTTAAGTCTGGTATTAACTGATACCAAATATCCCCTTAGCACAGAAAGTGAAGTGGCAGTTGATTGAATAAAAGACTTAATTCAAAATTCTAAGAAGGTTACGAAGAATAAAGGCAAACACTTGAAGACTGGAAGGTACAACAATCAAAATATTGTGAGGATAACCATCAAGATGAGTATGTTGATCCAAAGAGTAAATCACATAATAATTCCTCATCTCAAAAATTCTGACAAAAATGAAAACTTAAGATGCTACATTAAGAGTTATTAAGTTAATCCTTTCAGAGCATAAATACGAAATTAAATAACAATTTGCAAGACAGTCATTTTTTAACACTTCCTAAATTTTAAAACGTGTATAAAAACATTAATTTTAAATTATTAAAATCCAATTCTTGGCAGCTGAAAAACTTGAATTTCTTACTATAATGCTTCATTTCATTAAGCTTAATCTCCCATATGAGACTGAAAATTGATTTTAATGTTTTTTGTGACTAATTCAATAATTATAAATAGATATATACATAAAGACATTGTGCACAAGAAACCACTTTACAAATAATATACATAACACAATTAACTGCAATCTTGAAACCTTATGCTTAATATAGGATTTTAAAATAGCACAAGCAAACAAAAATACTAATTTATCTGATGATAGACATTTATATCACTTTTGCTTTTGCACATGCCTAATGCAACTTTCATTACATAATGGATGCCATTTTTCAAGAAGAAATGCAGTGTACTTTGTGTAGAGTAAAATGTGAAGGATAAGACATTTTCTTTAATATTTTTTGTGATAAATAAAAATCTGTGACACTAAACAATGAACACCAAGTTTTTACACTTAAAAATATATTAAGTATGTGAATGCAAATAACTGAAGTTAAAAGGAAGAAAGGTATTAAAATTTGACACACCATAAAACTGTTTTTACACAGAAACACACACATTAAAGATTCTAAGTTCAAGAATCTGTTGAGAATACTTTTTATTTATCACTGCAAAGCCAAAAGTATCTACTGAGACACTAATCATATAATTCATTATTTAGTGAAAAAAGCTATAAATCCATACATTCAACTTAAGTTCAATAAAAAAAAAAATCAACGAACAGCAATTTCTTTATGACTGATCTGATTATTTCAGATAAAAATCAAAAGATAAAGAGAGTATAGCTACTATTCTTATTTTAAAAAGGATTTATCAAAAGATAAGATTATTTAAATGCTAGATTTCATATCTATTGAAATAAAAGGTCACTCCTACTATCATTTTATAAGTTTAAAGCAACAAATACTAGATGCAAGTAAATTTTCACTTGAATAAATGATGAATTCTTTTACTGAATTTATAAAATATGAAAATATGTAAGATACAAAAATGAAAAAGAAACTTACAGATATCATATTGGTTATCAAGAAACAGAGACAACAGATAAAGCAGATGTAAACAATTAAAACTGGATAAGTAGTTATTTTTTGCACATCAATACAAATGGACAAAACTTACCTTACTGACATAAAAATAAAATTAAAGTTACAAACTGTTTTGAGAAATTTAATTTACTAAGAACCAAAAATGTTTAATTTAAGTACAACATAGAAAGGATTTTTTCTTTGTACCAACATTGTTGAAATCATTTTCTCATTTAAAAAAAAAGTTTCATATATATGTGTGTGTGTGTGTGTGTGTATGGTCATTTGTTCAGATTTTGTGAAATGAGGTTGAGAATTTTCCATCACTTCTTTGGGTTTAGAAAATCTAAAAATTTTAATTAAATTATCTCCATTCAATAATGTCAGTGTAAGGAAAAATTCTTGAAATTTTCAAATTTTTTTATACTTCACTTCACACAATAATGCTAAGGTAGCATGCCATTACAGGAAAAATATACTGAACACTAATAATGCTAGCAAAAAGTTCTTACAAGCAAATATTTAAAAAAATGAAAAATCATGCATAATGTACAACAAATTACCCAAGATAATTGGTTTTCAAATCAATACTAACAATAAAATAAGTTTATGAGAGAAGGAACAAAGTTTGACACTTCATTGTAACAAATGAAAAAACAAAATCAAGTTCCACACATTTTTATATCTAGGGCTTAATATGGTATGCTTCTATGAAAGATCATATGAATATTATAAACAAATAAGTTATTGAAAGCAGTTTCATAAATTTTGAAATATCCCAAAATCAACACTACTTGCATGAATAAGTTTTGTATTTAAAATAAATTGTGGTTAAAAATTTGCTTTCAAGCAAAGTAAACGTTTTATAAAATATACCAACTTCAACTAAAAACAAATTTGAAATCTTTAAAAAGCAGCTTTTTAATAAAATGTTCTTTACTTTAAATTTATAATATCAAATCATAAAACCAACTAAAATTTAATGAAGCATAGGTGAGTCATAAGATAACAAATAACCACTTTCGTTATAAAAATGTTAAAAAGTAACACAAAACCACAAAGTTAACATAAAAAAGCTAGTTTTTATTTTTGTACACTACTAGTATAGATAATACAAGCAGAGATACAAACTTATTTTCTAAACTCAAAATTAAAAATAATCTTAGTTTCTTTTCCTTTAAATGACATTTTATTTTCAAATATGTCAAATTTTTTTTAGCTGTAATCATCATATTAAAAACATGAAAATATTTTTTTTAAATTAATTTTCAAAGATGTTTTTAATGAAGAATGTTTTTTTCAAAAATTCTTTAATATCATTTTTATTCTAATCTTAGGGGAAAATAGTTTATGTAATATACCGGATTTTAATATTTGCAAAGATTTTAAAATAGTTTTATAGTAATAGGAGTAAGATATAATTAAGACTCTTACCTCCATATCCTTAAAATAACGTCTCTGCAACTGGCATAACTGGTGTGTTGGTCTTGAAGTCTGGATCGTACGACTTGATAAGGATATGTAAAAGATGCTGCAATCATCTTTGATGCAGCAGCAAATGCTATGTATTCAATTGATTTCTGTAGAAAAAGAAAGTTACCCTTGACTTAATAGCTACAGAAAGAAAATTTAAAAAGTTAAATGTTGCATTACAAAACTGCTTCACTTTAATTTTATGAAGTTTTGTTTATGGAATGATGGAAAATAAAATGTCTTCAGACTGCAATGTAATAAAAATATTTTAGTTAGTAATTTAAATTATTTTGATATTTTATATCTTTTGACCACAAGCTTCAAAAAATAAATCTGCATCAGTGTATACGTGGTAAGTGCTGAATATTGTGAGAATTTTGTCACAACATAACATAAATCTTGATGGGTTGCAGTCATAATATATATATCCAACTACTATTTCTCAGTAATATTTTTCATGTGCTAGTTCAGCCATGCTTTCAGTCATTATATTAATATTCATTTCACAAAGTGTTGATCAAGGTTTACAATCTTGCATTCCAAATTTAGCTAGAATATTTTCTCTATATCAGGATTAATTTTGTCTCTAGAGTTATTTTTTCAGGGTTCTGACATATCTGAGAAAAAAAAAACAAATTCTAGGACTACATTAATAAGTTTTAAAGACTGAACCTGGCATTTGCGTGAATGGTCATCAATTTCAAAAACACAAAATTTGCGATTTATCTTTTAATAGCTTGACAGGAGATATACAGCTGGTTCCAATATTCATTGTCACTTGGTTTATGTTACACTTTTTGTGTAGCATTCTACAGTTTGGAGTTCTACTACACTTGAAAATTGTGAATGACACTTTAATTCATAGCTATCTAGATTACTCATGGTTTGTGAATGTCACAAAAATTCTTGACTGCTGCACATTTCCTGTGAAGCTAAGTATAATGTTTTTAATGAACAGAACTACAAATAGAAATTTTCACAAAAGACTACACATTTTAGCTACCCCTATTACTCATGGCTTTTGTTGCACATGGCACAGAACACAATGTCAACATTTTTGTAATTCATCTAGTTTAGCATCTTCAAATTTTTATATCTCTATGGACTTGTCGTTTGCAGATCCATGGTATTGGACACAGATAAATGTGAAGTTCTGAGTCTGCTCAGCTTTCTCCATATAGCTGTCAGCTGACTTGAGCAAATCTTGTGTGCAACTTTCAAGCTTGTGCTTTTTGGTCTTCAGTTCTTCAATTTCTAAACATGGATTTCAGTTTTTATCCAGCTGCGTCTTTCTACATTTTTTCTTCTCAGCCTCAAGTATTGGTTGTATGCTGTTCTGGCATTGGAAGCACCGCAGAGAATAGCCTTTATCATGGGAACATTCCTAACACCTTCAACTGTGGTCAAATAGTTTGTGATAATGCACTGTGGCCAGAGTTTGCTGTTATAGTCAGTGGAAATTTCCTTATTGACTGATGAACCTCTCTCCACTGAGACTTGTCCATGAGAAAGTACCAGCAATTTGCAAACAACTTTTCACATTTTTTAATATTCTTTGTTGCTAGACAAAGAGTAGAACACAGTCTTCATACTTGCTGAAATTCTTGAAAGCAATATTCCCAGCAGCTTCCTCCCTGAACTCTTTGTACTGACTAATGATGTCATCACAAGCAGACTTGCTGACTTGTTTTCTGTCCATCATGTGGGAAAGATATTTTTAGACTGTCTTCTGTGGCATTTTTTTTTCACAAATGGATCCAGAGTTCAGAAAATTTTTTTTTCTTAAAGGACAATTTTAGCTTGTAAAAAAGCCAGATTTCTGAGATTTGGCATTTTGACTTTCATGAATTGATAAAAAGGATGTGTGGGCAGGCCAATTTGGAAAATTCTGGTACTTTTCAAGGAGTTTTGGGGATGTTGCTGTTTTTCCAGGACTTTTCAAGCTCCAGAAAAGGCCCTGACTTTTCATGGTTTCCAGGACCTGTACAAACTCAGTTAAATGTGTGTAAATTGTATACCTAGAAAGAAAGAAAGCTGTCATCATTTTATATATGTTTTACCATTTACAATTTGTAGCAATGAGGATATCCTCAACCTATAATCAATATTTTATACAATGTGTTTTTTGTGTTAATGCAGAAATCTGCTAAGCAGTGGCAGAACCTTTGACCAGTTAAATGTGTACGTAATTACATCATTTTAATTTTGCAGACTTTGTTTAAGTGCAATAACAACTTTTTTAATCCCTATACAATTTGTCATTTTTTTTTTTTTTTGTATTTTGTAGTGGTAATATGATACTCTTCTGGCTGCTGGATATATACTTCACAGTCAGTCAATGCATTTAATTATGTAATCTTTACATCCATTTAGTGGTCAGATGCAGAATCAATTTTAAGATTTTCAGTAAATTTGAAATATCTCACTCTTTTAATCATTTTAGTTTGTGGAATATGTTAGATAGGTAGGGCTCATCTCATCATATCCTATGAAAATTGCTTTTTCACGTTTAGTGTCTAATTTCTTTCTACCTTGTATATAAGCATAACTGTACCAAAAATATACATATTACCAAAGTTACGTGAACATCTTGAAGGCAGTTTTTCCAGTTCTTTGACTAGCACAAATATTTATGTAGGTGGCTGTCATAATAGTATAGGTCCTTAAGCATCTTGGTAGTTTTGATTCAATTAGCAAACATTTTCCAATTAGGGATCTCCAAGATCTTTCTGCAGTGTCATTTTGGTATGGGGAATATAGGGCTGATTTTTTGTGTATAATATAATTATTGATTAGAAAAGTTTCAAAATTTTCAGAAGTAAATTCTATGACATTATCATTTCTTAGTCATTTTACAGAGCCATACAGAGTCATGTCTGACAAATATTTCTTTGTCACTAAAAATGCCTAACTTTTATGTTTAAGAAAATTAACTGGAATACTCGTGGACAAACAAAGTATATATTTGAACCCATTCAGAAAAAAAATATATAAGTTCAATTTGGGCCAACTAGTTCACAGTGAACAAGGTGTAATATTTTAATAGCCTTTTTGTTGGGTAATTTATTTTTGTATTGTACCGTTTTGCCTTGGTTACATATTTCACTATTTACATTTGATTTTTCAGTAATTTTCATGTTTTCTACAAAGTCTTATAGTTTTAAAATGTCCTTTAGATTACAATGTCCAAGAATTTTATGCCATTGTTTTAGTTTTGGAGGTTATTGCAGTATTTTGATAGTAAAGGCAGCCCTCTCTTTTCATGTCAAATTTTATACCATTAAGAGTAGCCAAATTTTAGAAGCCTGACTTGTATAGAGAATATGTTTAAATATAGGTATATAAAAAGCATCCTTTAAAATACAATTTTGCATATTTCCTTGTGTGTCTGTAAAAGTAACTTGAGCATTGCTTCTTTTTAAGGCAATATTACTCAAAACAAATGAAATTAGATTCATCAGCAATAACATGGGTCATAGCTCCATAATTAACAAGTAAAACATTTCTAGTCCAATTGAAAATATGAATAAATGTTTCCTTTTCTGAAAAATATTCATTTTTACAAAATAGGCCTTCTTGCTTTTGCATGGTGTAATTTGCAGCATTTTTAGCTCTAATAAGATAACCTGCAATACTTTCACCACTTACTTTTTGTAAGTAGGTTAATTCGGTATAGAGAAACATTATTTTTAGTTTTTTTTTCATTAGTAGTGTTTTCTCAAAAAGTACTTTTCTACCATTGTCAGAGACTTCAGTCATCAAGAAATTAAATCAACATGGCAAACAGATTTGTATTCTTTTCCCAGTACTCTTTGTCATATGGCATTAAGATAATTTTGTGTAATTTTTGGATTGTCATGCATCCTAAAAATTTTACTTCCCATAATGCATATTTGGATTCATCACCACTGAAACAGAATCTATTTCTGGGCTCATAACCTGGCCATGGTTAAGTGCAATTGACAAAATTCTCAACAAACGGAATTGAAAAAGTTCTCAATAAAAAATAAGGAAAGGGAGAAAAATAACAGGGCAAAACAATACTAAGTAAACAATATATATACAGGTCAAAACTAGTCAAAGCAACAGTAATAAGGCAGAAGGTTTACAAAGAATTGTATTCACATACAAAGGGACACAAAGTGTTCTGACAAGAAAGAAGAAAAATATGGCAGTATAGACTGAGAATGTGTCCATTTTTATTGGTTAGGAGATTTGTCTATAAATTTGGGAGTGGGATGTTCTTAGCAGTCATTCCTACAGATTAAAACCAATTGAATTGTGTTTAATGTGACTGGCTACCAGGAATTTAGTAAAGTCTGCAATATGTGACATACATGTTTGATGAGATTTAAATCTAGTGAATGCAGTGAACAACAGAGTAATTGGAAGTCAGATGCATATTCCAGGAATCAATTCCAAATCAATGGTGCAGAATGGGGATTTGCACTAAATTGCTGGAAAAATAATCACCAGCAGGAAACATGGCAAACAAAGAAGTGTAAAAGCTTTGGCAACAAAATCTGTGTATTTCACACTTGTCAAGACTGATTCAACTTTGACTCTTAGTTAATGCAAACAGAACACACTCCACACCATTACAGAGTCAGCATCAGTTTGACAAAAAACACTTTGCATGCAGTTTCTTTTTATATATATATATATATATATATATATATATATATATATATATATATATATATATACACACACACATATATATATATATATATATAAACCCACCATCTGTCCCAATAAGATGGAAATGTTACTTTGATCAGGCAGCATAGTGCCAGCCTTCTATGTTCTAATGGTAATTTTCTCTGGCCCAGACGAGGCACAATAATTAATGTCATGGTATCAGTAATTGTAAACTTGTTAGTTGATGACATGGAATGTAATGTACATTGTACGATATGTTGACTGATAGGTTGTGCATCATCAGAGATGAATTTTTCAGTCCCCAGTAGTTCAGTTCTTGCATAATTTGTGGGCACTACTGATGTCTGTCCAGAATTCACATATTACTGATATGCTCTTGCTACTGTTGCTGGAGAAAAACCTAGTGACAAAAAAAAAAAGAAAACAAAAACAAAAAAAAACACCAGTGACCACTTTGGATATTAAATGATCCTGGTCAAAACAATCATTTTGTCTGCAGTCAAACAATGTTAATTCCATGGCTACTACAGCTTTATCTATTACATCACATATACTAAAGGTAGAAAAGGTAACTAATGACTTTGTAAATAAATAATTAGACTAAGTAGGAAGATTAGAACAATTTGTTCTTAAAAGAATTAAGAATTAAGCAGAAACCAATGGTGTTCAGGATTTTCTTTAATAGTAGGAGTTAAATTTTCCCCATACATACTGATTTAGTCATTTTTTCCAGATTAACTAAACATTTCTATTGCAGCTGATTGTTTTAAGATTGTTTTAATTGAAACAGTGGGAGGAATTTTATCACAAAGGAGGAAGCAAGTGTCAAATTCAAAGATACCAGATGCAACATACACTAAAAATTATATTAGTCTGAATAACTGCTAGAATAGAAAATAAAAAAAATAGTTAAAAATGTACTCACCAAAGTTTGTTCACTAGGTCTGTTGTTATATCTGTTGTACATGGACTTCATTTCTTCATAGGTTACAAATTGAATGACACCATGTGAAACACCAAAAACACCTGGCACAAAACCCTGATATATTACCAAAGGAAAGAAAACAATTATCCATACTATCAATACGCAGTGAAGCTTTTAAAAGATTTTAAATTTTAAAAATTCAATATTTAGCAAGAAAAACAGTCAGTGTAACATGAATTTTTGCTTTTTGATTTCAAATGTACATTTAATTTATATTTATCAATGCCCTAACAAATAAATCTTACAGCTAAATAAAATTTAGTAGCAAAATTTGGGCTCTTTCTTTTTTTTTTCTTTTTCAATAATGGAAAAATATTCTTTAAAAAAGCTTTTCTGTACTAATTTCTTTGAACTAATATTTATTTTTCCTCTTCCATCAAATTTCACAGAGTTCAAATTAAAATACTTTATCAATTTTATATGCAATAATAATAATAAACAAAATAAGAAAAAAAAAGTTAATTGGATGAGATAAACTTTGTAATTTGTTGCAAGATAGCATGTAAGAAACATGGCTTTATATTTTTCTTAAAAAAAAAAAAAAAAAATGTCTAAAGGCCTAAATAAGTTGTTTTGAAAATATCCAATTCAAATCTAAAATTTTAGCAATCAACTTTTATTTGAACCTAGTGCCAAACTTAAGATAGTTTTAGCAAATATTGAAAGTAATCAGTAATTTTTAATTACAATTTAAATATTATAATTTTTTTTATCTTTATTTGAATTAGTAATACTTAAATTGTGCTGTGATTCCAGAACCTAACTTGAATTTCTAAAATTATATAAAATTATAAAAGGGAATGAAACTTACTTTGTAAAATCCTCTTAAACCTTCTTGCTGGAAAATTTTAATTAATGCATCACTCAATCCACGATATTTAATTTTTTTGGATACATCTTTTGAAATGTCTTTTGATTCTTCATATTGTAAACAAAGACGTGTTTTGGCTACAAAAACCGGATTCACAACTAATAACGATAAAACCCCTGAGAAAAGAGAAAATATGTGGTAGTGAATACATGAAGTCAAAGCAGCCAAATGAAAAACTAATTTTATATTTCAAACACATTCATACTTGAGACAGAATTACCATATAAAAAGGCATTTTTATGAATTTAAAATACATACAAGTGATCCAAATACATATTTAAAAGTATATTTTCCATTTTAGGCTTTAAAATTTCTTATATGAAGCATTGACAAGTAGTATTTTTCAACTTATTTCTGTGTCTTCTCCTTTCCCAAAACTCTTTAGCACAAATTGAAAAGTAAAGAATAAAGCCTTTAGCAAGTTTTAAACTCCTCTTATCCTTGAGAAACTATTCTACTATGAACACTCCTTACCAACAATATACTATAAAACTAATGAAGCAACATTTTTTTAATGAGTGAAATTTATAAATAATTAAAATTGATATTGATTTTTCTTTCATTTTTTTAATGGCTTATTATTCTATTACTAAAGTAGCCTTATTTTTATAATAATAATAAAGCTATTTTAGCAATAGAATCATAAGCCAATAGATTGAAGTGCTTGTGAAGTTAACACAAAATAAAGAAGCTCACAGCTAACCTTGTGGTCACCAAACTGTAGTTAATAGATCAGAGGTTGTGTTTTGAACAAAAACTAAAAATGTGAAGAAAACAAAAGAGTGAAACAAAACAAGATAGAAATATTTATTCTATCGGGAATATCTTTCATGTAGAAAAAATTTCAAGGAATATTCTTAAGTCTCTGTAAATAATGAAGGAAAAATTTGAACTTATGCTGTTGGGTGCAAGTGCATGAGGTGCACTGCCTATACCATGTGCATCTATTGCATGAAGCACTAAATCTAGTGTCCTGTCATGGCCTCTTCCAAAATACAGCATACATTCTCTGAAGTTTTTTTTCTTTTTATGCATTCCCAAAAGCTGACAGAATTTTCCATGCATGTGTATCTGTTAAAAATGTCTGATATTTTTCTGCACAGTAAAATGTTTGTAGGTCCTCTTTATAATTTTATCTGAACCCTGGTATTTAGGTTGAAATGGCTTCCTGGCTGCATTATTATGTACAAATAAATGTTCACTGTCAAAGATATTTTTTAGGGATGTACTATTGTCTGTTGTCACAAGTGCTGGTGTAAACAATATTTTGAACAACTTGTGTTTTAAATCTTATACAAAAGATGATGTAGGATGTATACCACTGTTTTCATCATAATACTATCTAGGTAAAGTCATTAGTGTTATGCCAAAGACTATTTCAACTGGTGTACAGCTGAAGTTTTGTTTGATGATGAGAGAACTAGAGATAAATTATCAATTCAATTTTTTTTGTTCAGATGTTTATTAGAGATGCTTTGTCTGTGGAACCTTTCCAATAGGCCATTGGAGCATGAATGGTATGCTATTGTTCATATATGTATGTGTGTCATAGTACAAAGTCTTTTTACTAAATGGTATTAGTACATTTGTTTGCTTTATTACTTCTTGTAAGGTAGGATCTTGTTCTTGGTCCTGAGAAATTAAGTTGTGACTGAGGATATCTTGGGTGATGGAATATGTATCAGTTCAAAAGAGCGAGTCTGTAACAGTGTTTTTTTTTTTTGTTTTTTTTTTAAGCATTACGCCCCGAGCAAGGCGTGAAGCCACTAGGATGCAGGGGGTTGCAGAAGATTTGGAATGAGAGCAGATAGGAGTGATAGAAAAAAGGATGAGGAGAGGGATAGTGGATAGATCAAGGTAACTGGAGATGTCGATTGACATTACATTTGAATAGTTGGAGATTATAGCTCTCAGGTAAACAGTAATAGGGAAGGGTGTTCCACAGGCGAGAGGTGCGAGGTATGAAGCTATTGGAGTATAAGAGACGGCTACATTTAAAAGTTTCTACAGTGAAAGGGTGAGAGCGGGATGCCAGCCTCATAGGGCGCTTGAATTCATGAAGTCTGGGAACTAGTGAAAGCAGCTCATCGGAGCAATTACCATGAAAGTATTTGTAAAAGAGAAAGAGAGAGGCAACGGCACATCTGTGAGAGAGCAACTGTAGACGAGATGCTAGATCAGGGCCAATTACATTACATATCCACCTCTGGATCTTGTCAAGAACTCCAAGGTGCACTAGACCATATATGGCAGCAATACTCCATGCAAGGGTGAATGGTTGATTTGTATATTTGAAGTATCGATTCCGAGGAGAAAAATTTCCCTTCTGGCACAGAGAGCCAACTTTCTCGCAGTGGACGAAGCAATTAACTCAATGTATTTGTTCCATCTCAGGTCAGCAGTCAATGTGAGACCGAGCAGACGCAGGGAGTTGCTCTCAAGAAGTTGACTATCAGACATTCTAATGGGGGGCAGGGAAGGATCTCTATGGTGACTACTAAACTACTCTTTAATAGAGAGTAGTTTAGTTTTTGAGGCATTAAAGTTGACCAGTCAATTCTTGCCCCAATTAACAACCGATTGGTAGACAGTTTCAGTGATGGCCGTAAGCACATCAGCTGTAGATCGGGCGTAGCGGAAATCATATTGCTTCTCTGAGAGCAGGTCGTGTGTGGTAAGGTGGTTAACCACTTTGGCATTGATTAGGGCTTTGAAGAATTTGCCGAAGAGGGGTAGGAGACTAATAGGACAGTAATTAGAGGGGTCAGAGGGGTCTCCAGAGTTCTTAAAGACGGGGACAATGGATGAGGTCTTCCAGCAGTCAGGAAAACGGGATTCCTTGAGGCAGTAATTATATAGTTTAGAGAGGGCGGGCGCTAGCTCAGGCGTGCATTTCTTCAAGACAATGGCTGGTATGCCATCTCCACCACTAGCCTTGTGGGGGTCTAAATTGGAGATAATGCCCAATACCAATGACGGGGTTATGTGTAACCCGCTCAATAGGACCTCAATTCTTAGAGGGAAGTCTGGTATGGGTACACCGGAGGAGTCGAGCATTGAATTAAATGAGAATTTCCGAGCAAAGCATTCAGACTTGTCGGTAGAGGAGGTCAGGACCTCGAATTGGTTGAACAAAGGAGGTATGGAGGGTTTTCTATTGTTCAGGATGCTCTTGCAGAGCTGCCAATAATCTTTGGAGCCAAATTTTTGAGATGCAATACGCTCCTTCATCCGAGCAGCAAATATCGATTTAGCTTTGTTGAGGACACACTTACACTCGTTACGGGCGGAGGCAAAGAGACGTCCATTGCAGTCCGACATGTCACTACGAAATAGGTGAAAGAAGTGGTTCCTATGGGCAATGGTGGTTGAGCAAGCAGTGGAGAACCAAGGGGAGGAGTGTGACTTGACCTTAAATTTCCTTGAGGGGATGAAAGCGTCGATTCCAGCTTTAACCCAGGATGAGACCTCAGAAGCACATTCTTGGACAGGGAGTGTAAAGACAACATCCCAGGGGACACCGTGGAGGAAGTCACGGAATGAGTCCCAATCCGCTCGTTGATAGTAGAACGAGGTTCTAGTGATAGGAGGTTCTTTGCGGGGTGTGGAGTTGAAGGAAATGTTAACAGATACTACAGCATGATCGGAGTTACCAAGAGGGCAGAGCTGCATGGCGCTACAAGATTCAGGGATGGAGGTAAAACACAGATCAAGAAGGGAGGCCTTACCTTCCAGGTTGAGGGCAAAATGCGTGGGGAAGTTAACTATCTGCGTGAGGGATTGAGAAATTGAGAAATTAAGTGTTTGAATGCCTGCCCGGTCAGTAGTAGCATTCTCGAGCCACTTGGTGTGATGAGCGTTAAAGTCACCAAACACGAATATGTGAGCAAACGGGTGGAGAGAGAGGGCCTTGTCTATGCTGTCAGATATGCTATCGAGTATCCCACAGTCTTGAGAGGATGGAGAGCGATAGAGGAAGGAGAGATAGCTTACGGCATTGAGGAGAGATAGTCGGAGACATGTACGAATGGTCTGGCGATTCGAGAGACAACTCTCTGGCCAGAGGGAGATGGTCCTTGACATAGACACCAAGGCAGTGCATATGGGTTAGAGAGTCCTTCCTGAGGAGAGGAAGGTAGCCGGGGATCGAGAGATCAGAGGAGGGAATAGACGAGACAAGGTTGGTCTCACACAGAGCCAGTATATCCGGACAGTTTGCAGTGAGAAAAGATTCCATACTGCAGAAATTTGTTCTAATGCCACGGATGTTGGAGAACGAAATGTTGAGGTGCTTAGGTGATTTTTGAGGGGCTGGTTTAGGTTTACTTTTTTGGTTCTTTTGAGTCTTCATGTGGAGTAATTGTTGGAAGATGATAATCTTTGATATATTTTATATCATTCAAGAACTGTGATATATAGTTCAGACAACAAGTTTCTTGAATGTGAAGACAAGGCATTGTTAAGTGATTAAAGGGTTTGTGGTCAGTGTAAAGGATCAACCCTTTAGTATGTATTTGAAGTATTTAATTCCAAGATAGATTACTAAATGTTATCTTGAAAATGTGCTATACTTTGTGTGGGGGATGATTTTAGCAGAGAAGAAATCTGCTATCTTCTGGTGTATAACAATGCCCACAGATGTTAAAGTCAGTTTTGTTCAAATGTCATCAGTCAGATATATGAGTTTCTTAAAGTTTGCCAGCTTCTGCATCAAGTGAAAAGTATGATTTTACCTTTTTTTTTTTACCTTGTCCTGCAGGATATTTGTCAGTGGCAAGAGTATCAAAGAGCAATTCAGGGTAAAACATCAGTAGTAATTAATGAGCCACATGAAACCTTGTAAATGTCAAACTGAGGTTGGTGTTTAAAATTGTTTTACTGCCTGTACTTTTGCTGGTAGGGGAGTGATTTTGTCTATCAGGTGCTGGAATGTCTCAGCAACATTTCTTTGTCTAAAATTTGTCAGAATTCAAAAAGTTCAAAGGTCATTGTAACTGCAGTTTTTGGAATATCTTCATCAGAAACTGGTAGTATGCTCTTGTTGGATCCAGTTTAGAGAATATTGTCATGCCTTGTAGTCCTAAGGTGAAGGGGGTGAAGCATATGGGCTGTGTGA